CTCTTGAAGTCCAGGGCAGTGAGCTTGCCGAGAGCTTTTCTTACTGTCCTGAGGATCTGAAATTTGACCATCTCTTGTTCGCTACAGCCAAGGCTGCCCTGGAGCATCACATTCCCAACCAGCCCCTCCCTGTTGGTGAGCACAAGGTCAAGCATGGCACCTCTCCTTGTTGGTTCTTCTATTACTTGCAAGAGGAAGTTGTCTTCCACACAATGCGAGGAACCTCCTGGATTGTTTGTGCCGGGCTGTCCTGTCCCTCCAACAGATATCAGGATGGTTGAAGTCCCCCATGAGGACAAGGGCATGTGAATGTGAGGCTGCTCCTATCTGTCTGTAGAGCGCTTCATCCACAGATTCCTCCTGGTCAGGTGGCCTGTAACAGATCCCCACTGTAATGTCCCCCATTGCTGTTTTTCCTTTTACCCTGATCCATAAGCTCTCTGTTTGACAAACAAACTTGTAAATTATCCTACTTATGCAAATAGACTCACTGATTAAGAAGATTCTCTTTATAAGATTCAGTCTATGCATCTTATGTGGACTCAGCTACCAGAACAAGTCACAAAGCATAGCGTGTTCACAATAACAGTGATCTTGTGATTTAAGAACTCCTTTTTATCACTTTAGAGACAGGATCATGAGTCAAAAAGAAGTTATGGCAGACTTTTTTGAAGTGTCAAAGTACCTTAAAATGCTTTGGAAGGTTCCATTTTAATTCTAAATAATTTTGAAAGCCCGATCCTTAATGGCTGTCTCAGGTGAAATAACATGCCTTAAAGGGAGCTGACCTGTAAAATCACATTTAGTTGCTTTTCCTAAGTATTAGAATATACTCCTTTTAAGACAATTTTTTATCTCCTCCAAATGAGTCAATATATGTTGATCTTTAAATGTATATTTATTTTCAGATTCTAGGTTTGAAGGTAAGAAACTGATTCTTATTTAATCTTCATATTACTCAGGTAAAGAAATACTGACAGTGCTTGAATTTGTTTTGACATCAATTTCAAAATTATCTAAATATTGTCTTTTTCTGGTTTTATTCTAATATTACCACTAAAAATGCAGTTACCTTTCTATTTTGAAAGAGTTAAAATACTAAATTCTAAAACTGCAGAAGTTCAAAGTTAAAAAAAAAAATTAAAGGAAAAACAAATGAGAAGTTAATTTTTGCTGCAATTATATAGCCATAGCTATGTAATTAAAGTTTTTTTGGGATTTGTTTTTGTTTGTTGTTTTTTGTTTTTGTTTTTTTTTGTTTGTTTGTTTAGATGAATTCAAATTATTTATGAAAAGGCTGCCCATGAATTATTTCCTGAACACATCTACTGTAATGCATTTGTGGACAATGGATTCTAATTTTCAACGTCGCTATGAGCAACTAGAAAACAGCATGAAGCAACTTTTCCTCAAGGCACAGAAAACTGTTCACAAGCTCTTTGGCCTTAGTAAGAGATGCCATAAACAGCCACTCATCCGCATGCCAAGGCAGAGGTAAGAAAGCCTATGAAAACCCTAGAAACTCAAACTGCTGTTTTGACACTAAAATCTCCTTAAGGATATAGATGTGGGAATGTGTGCAGCGTATGGAACATGCACAGTATACAATCTTTATATTTGTAGGAGTTGAACCATCCCAGCTTTCAATATTGCTCCATTCAAGTTTTCCTAATATGATGGGAAAGGTCAAAATGAAACCTGATTTGTATATGACTGTGTTATGTGAGGCAACTTTAAAATAACACCAGCATACAGATTCATCCCGTTGGGTCTGCCTCTGTTTTACAGAACCATGTTTTCAGTGGAAATCGGCCAAGTGTAACAGTGCCAAATAATTGTATGCTGAATACTGAATACCTATTCTGAAGCAAGCACAGCTATTTTGAGAACTTTACAGGTCATATACAGTATATACTACATATTATTGATTTCTTGTCTCACTTGTCAGATATGAATGCAATTTGAAAGGACACATAAGGAAAGAAAATAGAAGTGGTTTAGTCCTTCCTAGAAACTGAAAGATCCTGAAAGCTCGCTAGTCCAATCTGTATTAACATAAAGTGATTGTAGTTGATTGCTGGTCAAAAATTGCTTTATTGAAATCAGTGGAATGACACTAGAATAAATCTGAAATGAATGAGCTTTTAAGAATGTTATTCTTCTGACCACAAGCACTGTGGGCCTAGTCAGTGAATCCTGCATTTAGCATGTATCTCTGTCAATTTATCTAGTTTAAATTCAGTGTTCTGGAACTGCAGGGGGTACTTTACTCTCCCCTGCTGTCATCTCTCCTTTTGCAAGCTAAGGCTCCATCAATTCTTCTTTGCCTCTTGGTGGCAGTTAGCTAACCCTTCCCTTTTTGTTTCAGAAGGAGACAGCTGTTATGGGTCTCATGCCCCCTTTTTTCTACATATCGTGCTTTGCTTTGTGATCTGCTAGTTAAAACAAAAAATGCATTTTTCACTTGGGGGGTCATTTCATAATTAGAAAACATTCCACTAAGAAAAGTTGTATAGTCACTGTAGTACTTCAAAATTTTGTCCTGTGTTTCTTGGGCTTGACTTAAATGAACATTCTACTAGAGACGATTCAAGATCAAAGACTTTGGCAGGAACAGAGTTTTTTTTAAAACACAAGAAACACAATCCAAATTAACTTTATTTTTCACCTACCAAAATTTAAAATAACCAGATCTTCCAAAATAACCACTATAGTTTTTTGGAACAATCTTTGGTTGCTGTCTGAAGTGGCAATTATAGAATACAAATAAACAGATCTAAAAAGCAAGGATGAGTTGAAATGATTGATCAAAGCACGCCTTTCTTGTTATCTGAAGGATACACTTCAGTTTATTTGTTAATAAAACGATATGGTGCTGCATGAAAAAGATATGGACAGACTGGAGAGGGTCCAGAAAAGGGCTGCAAAGATCACCAAAGGGCTGTGAAACCTGTCTTATGAGGAAAGGCTGAGAGAACAGGGTTTGTTCAGCCTAGAGAAAAGAAAGTTCAGAGAAGACCTTATCATCATGTTCCTTTTTACAAGGAGTCACATGGACAAGACAAGGGATAATGGGTACAGGTTACTTTCAGGATTCCCCACCACTTGGGGAACTTTGGACAATTTTATGATTGGCTGGACAGAATACTGTCTAGACTGTGCTTTTGCCAAGAAAGATTGGACCAGATGACCCTTCCAACCTGGTATTCTATGATACTATCATTTTATGATAAATTTTACTAGCAATGAGTTTGCTTGTTTTACAGGGAGTTGTACTAAACTTTCATAACAGCTTGATTTTGCAATGCATCTCTAATTTAGGAATCTCATGACTTACTTTTAAGATTAATATGTCCCATTTTAGTGACTGCCCCAAGTTTTTTTCTAGTCAGTACAGAAGGAGATTGGACATATGATAACATAATGGTAATCAATGGATGGCTCAAAGATCTGTGCTAAAGGCAGGTTTGGGAATACTTAGCCAGTGGAATGCATTTACTGAAAGAGAAAATTTTCAAGGGCTGGATTATGTCTGATTATGGATAAATTTCCTTCTGCCATCAAGGTTTTTACAGCTAGTAAGAAGAGCTTTAAACTGAGAAATGAGGGGAAAGTTCAACAGACACTGGTTTAATTTCTAAACCTTCTTAAAAAAAATAAAATCTGATACAGGAATGGATGGAGGAAAGGAATCTCAATGGTGATGAGACATAATGAGGAGAAAGAAAACACAAGTATTAATCAAATAATATTCAGGTACTTCTCATGATAACAGTCTACCTAATCCAAACAAGGTACTGAATTTTTTGGTTCAGAACTGCTAACAGGTAAGCATGAAATGAATAGTGGGTAATGCAGTGGAGAATAAATACCTGAGTAGTGCAATGGAGAAACGTGAATTATTGCTCAGGATGTAAAAACAGACATTTCAGCAGAAAGTGAATGGAATAAGAAAACCAAAATCAAGTACTAACATTTATTAAGTTTAAGGGAAGATAAAAATAAAAGCAAAAATCACAGATTCATGTGCTAATGATATTCTAGGCTCCAAAGAAACAAGAAGGGGGAATTGGAACAAAATGTAATCCTTTCTAAAGGCTTTCCAAACAACTCCTTCAGATCAGTGTTTGAGCTCTGCTATTGACAGTTAAGGACAAATTTATTATTGAAAGAGAAATTAGACTGAGTTAATAGAGATATAAATACTATTTTAAATAGTATTTTATGGGCATTTGTCTTTTCAGATACAGATTAAAGAGCCAGTGCTTCAGTTTTTACTAAAGGTCATGATGCTGGCAGTTAGTAAAAACAAAGTAACTGTGCTAGTGTTTAATTTTACATTGTATTTCACAAGGCAGTAGAGGATATATACAAAGGATTTGTAAAGGAATATGTTGAAAGTGAGAGCTGGTTTTCTCTTTCATGAAGTAGGGAGGTTTGTCCTTAAAGTTTAACAAAGTTCGTGAAAACTTTCTATAAGACTGAGTTTTATAGAGATTTAACTATGTAGTATGCCAGAAATAATTTTCACACTTGAAGGAGCTCCTACATATGGTCAAGGTTATAATTAATTAATGAAAATACCTGTCTCTTTTCTCTGGACTCAAAATTTTGTTGCTGAACATGAAGCCAATTGTTGCTTCACTGTTTTTAAATGAGATTCAATTAATCAGACAGAATTGCTTGCAATTTCTTCTATATTTCTCGAAGAACCAAGCCACTTAATAATCTAAAAGTAAAATTACATTTATATTTCAATTTTCTAATCCTTGAACCAAAATACTATTGAATCCTCTCCTAATATCATTGTTCATGGTAGAAAAGAGCCAATTAACATTCAAGTTAAAGGAACTATGTTCCCATGTCTTGTTTTAAACATAGTTTATATTCTCCAGCTAGAATAATGTATAAATAGTTTGCTTTCAGTCTGCACTAGCAGTCAGAACAATGTCTTATTTACTGCAGCACTTTTCTATACACTGTGGATGGGAACAGTATTACTATTTTTGTTTTATTCTGTTCATTGCAAATCTTTTCAAGTTCCAGATGTTCTTTCCAGTTTTTAAGGTTTCTTTCATTAACATGAAACAAACCTTTGTTCCTTTTCCTGAAAGTCAATTCATACCAAGAAACATCAAAAGTCTGTAGATTTCCATTATAAGCTGTTATAGTACTGCTGAGTGTAACTTTTAAAATTAATCTGATTTTAAAAATTAAACCTGAATTAATCAATACATTTTTTGTAATCAGTGAAGTTTTTACTGGTTGTCTGAGTTCGAATTAAAATACTGACTGAAAATTCAAAACCAACAAGGAGCACAGAAATTGCTATGTAGATAATCTGTTCCCATGTTGTATATAGGGGTGGAATGATAAAACATTCAATTTCAAGAGATAAAGAGAAAAACAAGAGAAAAAAAAAACCGCATTCTGAAAAAGAAACTTGATGTTCTGTGGAGTAAGCTACCAAGTGAGCTACTGCCTCCATGAATTAATATGAGGCTCCGCTGCTTCAAAAGGCTCAGGTGATTGTTATTAATATGTTCTCATTGCATTGACACATCAGCCTTAAAAACTTGCAGCATCATACACTCATTCATTGTGTTTGCTTGGCCAGAGCCCACCACATGCAGCAATTGTTACTCCACTAGGTGGCCAGCTCTTGCTGCAGTTTTTATATAGGAAGGTTATTCAAAACCTGCTGGAGCCACAATACATTTTGCTCTGCAGGAATCAGTAGGTGTTGAAAAATGTATATAGGAGGGTTGTTGAAATGGTCCCAGAAGCACGAAATGTTTTGCTTTTTAGGAATCGAGGTGTAAAGCTGTACCTCATCATGCTGTACCTCATCATGCATATTTCTGTAGTAGGACCATGAGGTGTACGGAACAGTTGTTAATCTTTGGAAGCAGTTTGCATATGGTATCTGTGGTCTAGTATATCTACTTTGAGTAAATGATTGACATAGCCGTTAAGTTAGTCCAAGCTCTCAATTCCAGCAGCCTCTTTCTCAAATGAAGTGAAAAAGTGGTCTTCTATTACGGTCAGCAAAGGTCAGTCTTTCTCACAGTTTGGAGTGAGCATTGTGACTCTCACCTGCTCTGAAAAGTGATATCTGTGCGTGCATAATCTGATGTTAACATCACCTTCAGATTGCATCTTCTAACTTTTCAAAGACAAAATAAGTGGAGGGAATAAAGAAATACTGATTTTACTGAATACAGATGTCCATATAGGACACTGGAGCCCACACATGGCAATAGGAAGAGGTAAAGCAGCAAGTAAAGTTGTGGTTACAAATTTGACACTGTGTTATGGGAAGTGAAATTTGTTCTTGTTTCTGTTTTGGCTAACACAACGGTAAGATTATATGCTTAGAAGCTGAAAATCACAGAAACAGAAGATCTGATCCTACCCATGAATTGCTGTCAGTGAAACACCTGACGTGAACCTGAGCTGAGCATAAGCAGGCACTTACATCCACCCAAATTATA